TTATTTCTTATTATTTCTTTGGTTTTAATATTCTATATCATATATTCATATCATTTTCATTTATATTTTATCACTTATTATATGTTATAATAACATAACACTTATGATTGAATATATAATAAACATCATGATGAAGTTATACATATAAATAATAACATAAAAAAGAGTAAAATATTTTTTTCAATAAAACAATATTAATTATTTTGAATCATTAAATTAGACACTTATTATTGAATATTTCTAATTTTTACATTAAAATTACACCATTTTCATTCTTTTCTTCTTTTATCATCTCTTTGTGATTTATTATTTTTATATTCTTCTTCTACTTTCTTTTTATTCTTTTATATATTTATATTCTTTTTATATTATTTGTTTTTCATTGTTTTTCTATTTCTTTCTTCTATTATTTATCACTTTTATATTCATTCATTCTTTTTATTTCTTTTTTATTAATTCTTGAGTATTGTATATTTCTTTAATATTTCATTTATATATTATCAAAATATATGTTTTATTGATTTTATGTTGAACAAAATATTAAATATAATCAATATTTTCAATGTTAAATATTCATTCTTTATTGTGAAATGTTATGTATATTTATTATATTAAATGAATATGATGAATGAATATCAATATTATTGTTTATTTGATTTTAAAAAATAATAAATGAATATGAAATAATAAATAAAATAATGAAATAAAATAATGAAATGACAATGAAATAGAATAATCTAATATTGAACAAATCAAATAAAGAATATATTGAATATATCATTATTGTTACATTATTATTTGTTATTTCAATTATTAAATATTAATAAATTATTATTCATGAATATTTAATTAATTGATATTTTACAATTTCATTTTCATTTTATTTAATAAATGAAATATAAATAATAAATAATAAATGAATGAATAATAATTTAATATATGAAATAATAAAAAGAAAGATAAATAATAAAGAAATATGATGTATTTAATACATACTATAATTTATTATCAAATATAATAATATCAAATGATGATTTATTTTTATTTCAAAATATTTTGCATCATTAAATTTTGCACTTTTTTTATTGCGCTTTTTTTTGTTTGTTTCAATAAAATTTGCATCCTTTATTTTTTTCATTCTTTTCTTCTTTTATCATCTCTTTTGTTTTATTACAATTTATCTTCTTTATTTTTATATTCTCACCTTTCTACTTTTATTCTTTCTTCATCTTATTCTACTTTTTACTTTCTTTTTATTCTTTTATATCTTTCTTTCTCTTCATTTACCATTATTTGCTTTTATCATTTGTTTTTATCATTCTTTGTTAATTTCTTCGTTATTTGTCATCTAATTTATCATTTTAAGTTTATTCGATTTGCTTATTCTTATTTTATTTATTTTGAATATTATATAATGTATATTTATTATTTTGTTATTGTTATTTCATTTATTATTATTCAACTATTATAATTCGGTTTAATTTTTTATTTGATTTTATATCATTTTCTTCTTCATTCTCATCCTTTAGGATTCATTGCTCTTACTTTTTTCTTTTCTCTTTCTATCATTCTATTTGAATATCTTCTATGTTTTTTATTTGGTTCGGGTTAAACATTTCTTCTTAAACTTCTTCTTGTGCACCCATTTTATCTTTATGAATTATATTTTCATTATTTTTATTGTTAATACTGGAATCTTCTTCTTTATTTATTTTTTTCAATCTTGTTTTGTACTGTTTTTCTTCTCTTCTTGATTTCTTTCTTCTTTATTGTTGTATTATCATATTTATATCTTCTTCTTTTATTTGTCATTGTTTCTTATTTATATTATTATCATTTTCTGTTTGTATTGGATTACTTGTCTTTCTCTTCTTTGATTTCTTTTGTACCTATTCTTTTCTACTTTTATTTGTATTTTCTTGTTTTTATCTTCTATTTTCTTCATCCTTTCTTGTTGTTTTTCATATCATTTCTTTTTTCTTGTCTGTTTCTTCTTAGTTCTCCATTATTCTATCTTTATCATTGGTTCTCATCTTTTTCTTTCCTCTTTTCTTTCATCATTTTGAT